ATTATGGGAACCATACCCATAATTTATTGGAAACATTCCTATGCAATAATGGAATTGCTTCAATATATTATGGGAATGGTTCTTATAATATTATGAGAATGACGCACATAATAATAGAAAAATCTTTATGTTCATAGTAATGAAGCAATCACTTCAAAAATATAAAGTAATTATTACATATTTTTTTGCTAATAAATTTTTTTTTGTAAATAAAAATTGACCTTTCACTAGAGTGAAAAAATTTCTTTTTCATAATTTTTATTCACGTGTGTACTTAATCTTAAATTGTTTATTCCAACTCAGTTACTGTTGTGTTAGATAATATTGAAAAATATTGTAGCAATTCTAAAGTTTCTCTAATAAAAGGGATATTTTCTCACTATACAATTAGAGGAGTAAAATAGATATGGAAATTCATTGTTTATTTTTACAATTTCATTTTATTTTTAAAACAAATTATTTATTTACAATACATACGTTGAATATTTATTAAATCCACCTTTTGGGTATGTAACTTTTATTGTTTATATGAACAATATAACTTATTTTACATATTTCAAATGATGTTATTGGGAAGCAAGTAAAATTATCGAAATTACTTATAATTTCAAATGCTTCAAAGTGGTCATCGAAGTCACAAATAACTTGAGTTGTAATGAGAAATATCTCAATATTATTAGGCATCATCACTATAATATTATGGGAATGGTTCCCATAATATTATAAGAATGGTTCCTATAATATTATAGAAACTATTCCTCTATATTATGGGAATCATGCCGATATTACAGTTATAATTATAGGTATCGTTCCTATAATTATAGGAACCATCCCCATAATTATAGTAACATTTCCCAAAAATTATAAGTACAATACCCATAATTTAAGTAATCGCTCCTAAAATGGTATAAGAAAACATTTCATTAAAATTATAGTAATGATTTCCATATTTTTTTCTCCGTGTACATCTCTGAAAGTAGCACAATTTGCTCAAAACTCCACGAATCAGTTAGAGTCTAGATAAGAAACTATTAGAAAAATTGGAAATAATTTTAGTAAAAAAAAAAATCAATAGCTGAAGAACAAAGAAAAGGCGGACGTCCCAAGCGTGAATTGGCTCTCCCACATCTCTCAGATAATAAACAATAGTCATGGCAACAGAAATTTTCTCATCTGTCTGAAGTAATCTAGTTAGTTGATGTCTAGGCGCAAAGTTCTCGATCCAATGGGAAATCCACCTGGAGATATTCTCCGTAAAATGGATAGCGAGAACAAGAAACTCACCCCAGGTTCCTTATTCCCCATCTCAGTTGCCAGTTCACTGGCGTCTGAAGTTATTTGTTCACCGGCAGGCGGCAGAAGGGGGAGAATTCCCAACTACTTCACCAACACCAGCTAGAACCCCAACAATGGTGGTAGTTGTCGATGTAGTTGTTGCAGTAGAGAGCGGAGCATAAATATACGCCTTTTGCCACCTGCCAACCGTCCGGTTGGACTAGTGTTATTATTCCCGTCTCGGTGGAATTGTCAACTGCAAAATTACCACTTGGCTTTAGTTGTCCAAATTATACTCGAGATATCCTGGTGTATGTAGATCTAACCAGCTCCGACAGGTGCCTTATCCACGACTTAACCTCTCGAGAATACACAGAACTTGGTGATCATCATCATTGTTATTATTCTTATTATTTAGTCAGGTTATTATTATTTAGATCAAAGTTCAGAGCTATCAACTATAACCTTCTTTTTCAAAAATATTCATTTATTCTGGAGGTCTTGGTGGTTTTGTTCCTTTTTTTTGAGCTTTTAAGGAAGCTGTTTAATGTTGCCAAGTAAAAGAATTTGTTTTAATTTGGAAATCTTAAAAAAAAATTGATTTTTTACACGCTTTTTATTAGCTTCACCTGTATGTTTGTATGTTTGTAACCGACTTCTTTGGGCGCGATTTTGACCGACTTTAAACGGCCAGATTTCGTTTAAACTTTGTAGATCTATCGAGGACCGATGACAATACACTAATTTGATAAAATTATTCAATTTTTCAATTTGCAAAATATAATTTTTGTTAATTTATATAATTTTCATCTATAGTCGATAAGGTAAGAAACTTAATTTTCATTTTTTATAATTTTTCTCTACAGTCGATAAGACAGGACTTGATGTTAATTTTAATTTCCAATAATTATCTTTAGCCGATTTCTCTAATATTGATAAATTTTCGAATACTAAGGAGAATTTTAATTCTACAAAACAAATAATAGTTTAAAAAAACTAACATATCACGCTTTTATAAATAAACCAAACTAAAAAGTAAAAAATAAATAATAGTTTAAAAAAACTAAAAACACGCTTTATATAGAAAACCAAACTAAAAAATAGAAAATAAATTTTAATAAATTTAAATTAAAAATAGTGTTAAAAATTTCAATAAATATAAATTAATAATTGTGTAAATAAAAAAAAATGTAATTGAAGGGCAAAAGCGCCAACGATCAAGCACAGATAAATTCCAACGCGCAACATGTCTCTTATTCAGCACAAAGTTATTTCCTGAAGTTTATTCGGAAATTTCGTAACTTATATATAGTGAGAAGTCTCATTGCGTCGCGAAATTTTTATTAAAGTCAGATGATATTTGTTTAAATAATAATTTTTCAAGCTTGTCTGAAATATTTTTTTTTATTTGTTGTCATTAGAGTGTTTTTGTAAAATAATGTATAATAATAAGAAAATTTTCTCGGGCCAACGGTTGAACAGAGTTGTGTTAAAATATCAAAATTTTTCACCAAGTGCAAACATGGCAGATTTATTAAGAGGAAAATTGAGGATATTGAATCAATAAATTGATAAAATTTTATAGTAAAAAATATATTGTTTTTAAAAATTATTGAATAACTTTTTAATAAAATAAAAATATTTTTATTTAATTTTAACGACTGCTTAATAATTATAATTGTTACGATAAGAGCTGGCAATTTTGATTATCAACTTTAACCAAGGTATACAGCGGTATACCTATAGACTCTTCAATGCTTGGTTAACTTTATCAGTGTAATCACTGATCTAAAGATCAATAAATAATAGTTTAAAAAAACTAAAAACACGCTTTTTATAGAAAATCAAACTAAAAAATAGAAAATAAATTTTAATAAATTTAAATTAAAAATAGTGTTAAACATTTCAATAAATATAAATTAATAATAGTGTAAATAAAAAAAATGTATTTTATTTTAAAAAAAGCGTGGGGTGTTTTTTAAGATATCAAAATGATAATAATCACTCTACTTATATCTGTCAATAAAATATTTATAACTATTGACACCATGCACCCCAAGCTTTTTTTAAAATAAAATACATTTTTTTTATTTACACTATTATTTATTTATATTTATTGAAATTTTTAACCCTATTCTTAATTTAAATTTATTTTCTATTTTTTAGTTTGGTTTTCTATAAAAAGCGTGTTTTTAGTTTTTTTAAACTATTATTTTTAACTTGAAAAGCTTTTGAGAATTTTTATATTGATAGGAAGTATCTAAAACAAAGTTGTCTTACAAAACTACCAGTGTAATGTGATTAAGAAACTTTTAGAAGAAAAAAAACTTCATAAAAGCCAATTTAAAGCAAAATTCAGCAAAAAAACTTCGGTAAATTTACAGAAAAAGTGAAAAACTTCAAAAATTCTTCAGAGCTTTCAGTTCTCTACAAGAGTATGTCCAGGTTGTACTAGTATAACAGTCCGGTAATGAGTTACAAAATTCCAAAATTTGAAAAGAAAATTGAAATTTCCAAAAATATTTTCGATGTATTTAAGAAAATTTCGGAAAAATAGTTGATCCAGACCACCTGAAGTTTTTTGGAGTTTTCAAGCTCAAAACGCTGGAAAATTTACCAAATAGTTGATTTTTAAGATCAAAAATCTTCAAACTGTTTCAGAGAGCGTATTATAATTCATAAACTGCGATATCTTTCGAAAGAGTTCTTTGATTTTGATCTTCTTGACCATATTTAGCGCAGTTTATCACGCCCAAAAAGTGTATACACGGTCTTAGTTCAATAAATTCAAAAGTTATCTCATAAAAAATGTAACAAAATGGTTTTAATTGCTTGCGCTGTATATTTTTGGGTATTTATCAAGGGACAAACACTATAACTTTGGAAAAAATCAATTTTTCTACTAAATTTATTTTTTAATCTCTTCATCTACTTCAAAGGAAGTTACGGATTGAAATTTGCAGCTTAATATTGTTTTGTTTAATTATAATTAATGTTTGTTTGGCTGGCAGTTGGAGAAATTTAGTGTTTTGAGCAGCCATATAGAAAAATTAATTTGTAAATGGAGCTTTAAGACAACTGATAGTACATTCAATTGCGTTCTTTTGCGGACCAAAGATAATACAGTCTTTAATCGTTCCTTTTTTATAATTCACTTCGGAACGAAAGAGGGCGTTCAATTCATATGAACAATACTATCCGCGGGAAAATTTAAACAAGCGTTAAAATTGAATTATAAATAAAATTTCTTGTAATTTATGGATAATTACCTTATTAAATTTATTTTTCAACTTATTTTTATAATTTACACTATATAATTGCTATTTTTTCATGAAAAAGTCATTTTAATGGCTTTTAATGCAAAGTTTCAAATTTTTATGAAGGGACAAACACGATAACTTTTTTAAAAATAAATTTTTAAACTCAATTTATTTTTTAATCTCCTTATTTGTCTTATAGAAAGGTGCGTATTGAAAATTGCAGCTTAATATTGTTTAGTTTAATTGTAATTAATTTTTTTCGGCCGGCTGTTGAAGAAATTTTTTATTGAAATTGGTATTTCTGTCGGGATATTTCCAGTTACCTTACAATAAAAATACTTAATATTCTATGAAGGAAACTGTTTTTTTTTTTTTTAGTGTAGTGCGACCTTTAGTTTTCCTCTGCAATACCAAACCCGATCCTGGTATTCGTTAATTAACGTCTCCCAAATTTACAATACTATTATGTTTCTCGAACATAAATTCCTCGTATTCTTGATCTCGTTCTCGAGGCTGCGTCATTTTGTTCGAGCGAGGGTGACTGAGTTATAGCTCGAGTTGTATGTAAGGAAAGCTCTAAAGGAAATTCCAGCTCCTCTATGGTTTTACTTGTAAGGTAATTTCTCGGAATGCCGAGACCGATGTTGAGAATTATCACGAAAGAGGAATTGCTTCTCTTTGACGAGATGAAGCCCTGTCTCTTATTAGCGCTACGGAGATTCATTAAATTCAAGTTACTTTCATTAATTGCATTTATTATAATTATTTTTATTTTTATTTTTACAGCAACAGCAAACCCAGAACCAGGTATCACACAGTCCACAAGCAAATTCACCAAATCCAAATGCTCCTGGAAAAGCAAGCCCCTCTCCGGCAAGCTCCGCTTCACCAGCAACTCCAGGAAAAACTGAATCTAAACTCGTCGAATGCAGTCTTTGCAGAAGGCAGTTCAAAAATATTCCCGCTCTCAATGGTCACATGAGACTTCACGGCGGATACTTCAAAAAGGTATATGTAATTAATTTTGCAGTTAATTAAAGTCTTGGAATTTTTTTGCTTCTGTTTTATAAATTGAGGAAATAAAGGTCTGCTCGGAAAATATTAAACATCACAAGCTTCGAGTCCAGTTTTTTTTTTTAAGATGATAAATAAATATTTGATATAGAGTTGCAATTAGAGAAAAAGCTTATTTTTACGTCAGTTGTATTGAAAGAGTTATTTTTATGGAAGAAAAAAATACTTGATGAAAATTAGACTGAATTTGGAACAAAAAAATTCTTTTTATTTTATATTTTTTTCGTAACACTCCGAAATCTTTTCCCATTCTAATTTCGCCTCTAACTATATTTTAATAATCAAAAAAATTCGACTTTAAACCCTTCGAATCTCAAATTAAAAAAATCTTGCGACTGGGCCTATAACCTGTTAGCCATAAAAAAATGGCAAAACTGATTAAAAACATCAACGGTTATCTGAATCGGCCCTAAAAGTTTTCTTTTATTAAATAGAGGATGGTAGTTAGCCGGAATAGGCTCGGAAATAGCGTAGATAAAGGCCTCGGATAAAAGTTGTAGAGATAAAGGCAAGAGATGGAAGGGAAGGACTAAGACCGGGTTCGGAAGATAGAAAGATAAGGCGATGATCGAATCGAAATGAACCCATTAACAAGTTCTTTCGTTCTCGGAGCAGTAATCCTGAAAAGCGTACACCCTCCGAGCAAGGGGAGCAAAAAGGGTGAGTAAACATTGTCTCAAGCTTTTCCCATTATGCTGATCCAATCTGACGGCTCTGCAGAGATGTTTCTGTGTACTCTTCGTCGATATTATTTCTTCCGGGCAAACGATTTCTGTTCTGATTCCGAGGCATCATTGATAACGCATACAATTAAACTGCATTCCAGTAGATAAATCCGCGAACTCCGGCATTGAAATTTAGATCGAGCTACCGGGATTTCCCAATCAACGCATTAGTGTCCGTTCAATATTCATGAATCCGTAGATGTATGAACATGTCAAAGACGGGATCTATTTGGAACGTGATGTATCCAAGTTAGAGGCTGGACAAACCGGTGATCGATTGTTGGGGTTTGGTTCCACGTCAAGATAATGCCTTTCTCGAATGACTCTCGAGCAAAGGTTGCTTAATCTGACCCTGAGTCTCTAGAAATGTCTGAGATTCCATATCAGGGATAATCAAACGCCCCTATTAGCTCTCTCAGTGATTATGATTACGCATGTACGGTAATTTACGGATCTTATCTGCCAATCCGGGGATTGCTCAACGATTTATTGTTTTCAGGATGGCGAAAACAAAAAGAACGAGAAGAAGGAAGCTCCTGGACCTCCACTTCAGACGGCTTCGGTCAATGTCCGGGCGCTCATTGAGGAAAAGATCATACAGAAAAGGACTACCGGTAAGAAATTATATAAGATTAGCAACCTTGCAGTCACTATGTGACTGTCGTGACTTGTGAAATATAAATGAATAAAATTTTGCTTTACTAAATAATGACTTTTGTTAAATTGCACTGTACTTTCTTAAATATTGACGTTTTTAAAGATATAAGCTCATCCTGATGTTACACTCATCAAGAGCTTTCATTTGATTACCCACATGTATTTTGATATATTTTTCATATATACATATATGTAATATATATATAAATATATGAAAAATTGATGTGGATACTCAAATGAAAGGTCTTGATGAATGTAACATCAGGATGAGCTTATATCTTTAAAAATGTTAATAGTTCACAAGATACAAGGTCATTTCTTAATTATGTTAAATTGCACTGTACTTTCTTAAATATTAATGTTTTTTGAAGATATAAGCTCATCCCGATGTCACACTCATGAAGAGCTCTCATTTGAGTACCCACATGCATTTTTATATATTTTTCATATATACAGATATGTCATGTATATAAATATATGAAAAATTGATGTGGGTACTCAAATGAAAGCTCTCGATAAGTGTAACGTCGGGGTGAGCTTATATCTTTAAAAATGTCAATAGTTCACAAGATACAGGGTCATTTCTTGATTATGTATCTAGAGATAAAGCATTTTCGAATGCCACCTAAATACATTAATTATCATAATAAATTGACAATTGGTGAGAATTATATGAAACCTTGAAAAGGCACAAATTAAAGTCAAGACCTTTGCAATGACACTAAATTTCACTAAAAAAAACCGATTTTATCATATGACTATCCTGGAAACAAAATTTTTCTTATTCTCTTAATAATCTAAATGAATTTTTGATTCTCTGCAGGGAGAAAATGGGATTTTTTTTAATTTTGCAGGGAGAAAATTCATATATTGCGATTTTTGCCGTGAATATTAAAATTTTCGACTATAAAAAATAACATAATTATTTTTACCATATTAACATGGATATTTCTACCATGAAAACATCGGAAAAATACTTTTGACTTACTAATACAAAATTGGGACCACTTTAAAAATTTTTTCCTTTGAAAATAAAAATGGAAAAATTCTTATTCAAACATAGTTAAAAATTCCATAATTACAAAAATATTTTGACTATGCACCAACATAAAAAATTTTTGTATGCCAACGTAACAATTTTTCCTATATTAACGTAATAATTTTTTCCATGTCAAAAAGGAAAAATTAATAAGCTGGCACTCAAAGAAATTATATGTTTCGATATTTTTGTCATGAAAAATTTTTATTTAGACATAGTTTAAATTCTCATAATTACATAAATATTTTTACTATACCAACATAAAAATTTTTGTAATTTTTTTTTTATCAATAAAAAAAATTCCTCAGCATAAAAAAAATTTCTATTTTAACACGGAATAATTTCGTATGTTGACATAGAAAAATTACTAAAAAAATTTCTATTTTAACATGGAATAATTTCGTATGTTGACATAGAAAAATTTTCATGTCAGCACAGAAAAAATTGACATAGTACTAAAATATATAAAATACCAAATATTTTTTTCATTAAAAAATAGCAAATTTATAACTATTTAATTTTTGTATGCGTAAAAGAAAATTATAATAGTATAATAAAAGTTTATATAAATTTTTCCTATGTTGACACTGAAAAAATACCCATGAAAAAATTTATAAAATTTTTCCAATTTAACAGTTATTTATCCATGCAGAAAATACAAAAAATTTACACATTTTTTTTCTCTTTTACACCCTACGTGAATTTTATCGTAAGCAAAATGACATCCCCGCATTTTATTCCGGGAAATAAAAACTGTTTGTTCAGTTTCGTTAATTCGTTAGCTTTCAGTAAAGAAAACTAGAACGTCAAGCATGTAACGACCAAAACAAACAAGCATCTCTTGTTGACGTTGGATATCGATTCTTTAGAGCTAGCTTGGTATAGACAACCTCACCACAATCGATGATTGGCAATTTGCAAAAACGTAGCCTCACACTTTAGCAACAGAACAGCCAGAGGAATTGAATTCCGTAATCGGTTAGTTTGACGGCTGACTACTTTCTCGTTCCTCGGTAAAAATTATCTCACTGTAAAATTTATTTAACAATTCAAAGAAGGGAGCCTGAATAAAGCCCCTCATTCCGTCATTAGTAGGATAAAGTCTAGTTGCAATTATTAACGAACCGTTCCATCCGTTCCCCTCTTGAAGCTGTAGCTGGAGCTTCAGCTTCAGGCATTCCTTTTTAATTCCCGTCTATTTCGTCTTAACGTAGCGAAAACAAAAACCCGACAGCGAGTAATAATAAAGACGGCTCATAAAATTCGTTCGATGAAGATGAGGATGAGCAAAAAACGGTATCTTTTGTTTGAATTCATCGACTTGTTCCATCTCATTGCTCCTTTCACTTCATATTCAGCCCGATTTGCAGTTTCCAGTTTAGTTATAATGATTGATAACTACCGAGTTAAGTTTCTAACTAATTGCCATGAAGTCGCTAATTGGAACTCTCTTTTAGCAACAGAGGCCAACGGCCTGGCGAGAAACGCCGTTTTCAACAACGTCGATGTCTCTAATCACATGATCGGCAAGACCAATTTCGCCGTGCCTGCTCCACCTCCGCTGGTCACTGGCGAGAAAATAAGGCGTCTTTCTGATAGCGAGCATTTCAGACAGCCCAACATCACTGTCGGACACACTACTGTCCAGAAACAGCTTCAGGAAGCCCAAACTCAGGCACAGGCTCAAGCACTTGCTGATATGATTCTTAAGGTAAGTTTGCTTGACAAATTTGCTATGATGACTTGGTTTGTCGGAGTATTGATTTTGTCTTTAATTGCGTTATTTAGAGCACAACAAAGATGACAGTAAAGAGAGCGACTTCGGACCCAGGACAGCGGGTCCAACTGACCTACCAGTCAAACTTGCCTAGCAACCAGTCCCAACAAAACCAACAGGTTTCTGAAGGTTTTACTATAGCTAATTATTCAGAGGATGGAGGATACTTTAGTCCAAGTCTTCAAGATGAAGTCTTCCAGCAAGTCACTGCTGTTCCTGATTCGGTTCTTTTGCAGGCGAGTCAGTTGGACTCAATACAGGTAAAAAATTAATTTTTTTATTAACACTGAACTGATAATGACGATGATCATCATTGACTACGATAATCATCATGATCATGATAATTAATCATTATAATAATGCTTGATCATGATAATTGGTCATGATGATTGACCATGATCATGATAATAGTGCTTGATCATGATCATGGTAATTGGTCATGATGCTTGATCATAATCATGATGATTAATCATAATGATAATGATTTTTCGTGATAATAATACTTGATCGTGATCATGATGATTGATCATGACAATGATAATGGTGATCATTGATGATCACTAGAATAATTTTTAACCACGATAATAATGATAATTGATCATGATCATGATAATTACCATTGACCATGATAGTAATGATGATGATCATTGATGGTCATGATTATGATTCCTGACATGATGATTATAATGATAATAATCCACTAAAACAATTAATTCAGTTCCAGGCATCTAGTCTCTTACAAGACCAACCACCAGACCAACTCCAAGACATCACCCTGGAAGACCGCTTCACCAGCCAGCACACAGTAAACCCAGATCTGCAAGCTCTCGTCAACTCACCCCTCCCCGACTCACTAGCCGAATTCAGCACCTACGGAACTCAGTACACCGAGAGTCCGCACACTCTACCAACTCAATCGCCCTTGCCTTCGCCTCTGACCCGCCACGACAGCCCAAGCTTCACTTACCCAACCCCGCCCTCCAGCCAGGAAGGCCTCCTGTCAGGAACTCTTCCACTGCTGAGCCCAGAAGACGATCCGGAGGCAGTCAGACCAGTATCATCTCCCTTATCAGCAGCCTTCTACACGACGACCTTATCATCAGCTGCTGCAGTGGAAGAGGCGTTGAACGCCGTCCTCCCAGAAGAAACCGAGGCTGACAACGGGCAGGGAAGCGGCGGGTCGGATCTCTACAGTTCTTCCCCAAATCCCAATTCTCCATTGCCAAGTCCGCTATCAGCAACTCCAGCTCCCTCGCCGTTGTCTTCCTTGCCTCCTTCTTCCGTCTCTTCTCCAGGACCAGTCACCTTTTCTTCCTCGGGGTTCCCGGTGTCGCCCCACGCGCTCCAGAACCAGATGATGCCCAACTCCGAAGACCCTTTGCTGTCCTCCAGTCCCAAAGACTTCGGGGCTGCCAGGAGGAAGCAGTTCGAGTTCCAATCCTACAAGCTGATCACCAACCAGAACCTGGTGGACTTCGGCCTGGGGAACGGAAGCCTAGCGGGCATCGTCGTTGACAACAACGGAGAGTACAAGCTCATCCAGACATCCGGACTCCAGAAAACCAACGTCCTGGTCCAAGCTAGTCCTGCTCTGACCTTCAGGAAGGAAATCCGGCTGACACCCAAGGTAGAACCTGGAAGCGTATCAGCTTCGACGAACCAGTTCCAGGGCAACGTCCAGGCGATAAATCCTGCCAAGTTCCTCATCCAGGCGACCAGCATCAACCACGCGAAGCTCAAGCTCCAAAGAGGCTCACCAGCTCCGGGGGCGAACCTACCAATTCCAATTGAACAGATTAAGGAAGAGCTAGATGATGATATCTTTCTCAGTCCTGGAAATGTTTCTGCTAACAGTCCAATGAGGCAAAGCAGGAAAAGACCCAGGGTTGATAGCTACCCCCAGAACCTGTATCCGTCGAGACTAAGGCGTGCTTGTGATCGGCACTGGGATAGTTCTTACACCCCTCCGCCGATACTCAATCCCTCGAGACCTGGCTCTGGGCTCTATGCCAGGCTCCATCAGTATGAAAAGGAGTCGGAGATTAGTTCTGATGAGTCCCAGAGCAACGATTGTCCCCCTCCGAGGATTAATATCGGAACCAGGTACCAGGCTGCCATTCCAGCTATTAGTTGTGAGGAGAGAGGTCGTGGTGGAAGGGAAACTGATCATCTTTTGTGGGATCCTGGCATAATTAATGGGCTCACTGATAATGAATGTAAGTTTTTAAGGTTGATTATTTTAGTAGTTTACTGAAAAAAGTTTTACAAGTTGATTCGAATTTTTGATTTTTAAAAAGCCCGCCACGGTGGCCATTTTATAAGCAACCAGCCATTTTGATTTAAAAATGCATTAATTAGATATTTTGATGGTTTCTTTATAATTATACACTAAAAAAAATTATTTTATTCAAGAAAAATGTGATCTTAATTTCTCCGCAACTTAAATATTTGATTTTAAAAAATCCCCGCCACGTCGGCCATTTTATAAGCAACCAGCCATTTTGATTAAAAACTCTATCAATCAGAAATTTTGATCTTTTTTTGCAATTTTATACTAGAAAAAATTATTAAATTCAAGGAAATGTTATTTTAATTTCCGCGTTATTCAAATTTTTTGGTCGCCACGGCAGCCATTTTATATGACACCCGCCATTTTGATTTAAAACTGTATGAATTAGATATTTTAATGTTTTTTAGTAATAATACACTAAACAAAATTATTTAATTCAAGACAAATGCGATCTTAATTTCTCCGAAATTTCGATATTTAATTTTTAAAAATCCCGCCACGGCGGCCATTTTATAAGCAACCAGCCATTTTGATTTAGAACTGTATGAATTAGATATTTTGATCTTATTTTGCAATTTTACACTGAAAAAACACTATTTGTTTAAAAGAAACATTATTTTAAAAATCTTATTGTTGTTTGAAGTAGTTAACTAAAATTAAATTTAAAAAATAAAACTTCTGTCATAACATATTTATGAAATTTTTTTTTAACAAAGAAATTATACTTAAAACAAACAAAAATACTTGATTAAAAAAAATCACTTCTTAATTTCAGTGAAATTAAAATTCGTAATTTTTAAAAATCCCGCCAAGTCGGCCATTTTAAAAAACAACAGCCATTTTGTTTTCAATTGCCTGTATTAAACATTTTGATATTTTTTTGCAATTATAATTAAAAATATAGAAAAAAAAATGAATTGACAGAAAAATATTATTTAATAAGAATAAAAATAGATAATTAGACAAAAAAAAAGTATCCTTTTTTTATAAAATTTAAAAATAAAAAAAACTAACCTCTACGAAAAAATTAATCCTGACAAAAAAATTATTACTTATTCTTTTCAGAAATTTTTACAAAATTATTTTTTTAATTTTTAGCTTAAAATATATGTACAAAATAATAAACAAAAAAAAAATTGACTCTAATAAAATTTTTTAAAAATTTTCATAGAATTTTAGGATTATAATAAAAAAAAATTAATTTTACAGTGGAGATGTATCTACAATTCGCCTGCTGCGCTAGTGTACCTGGAGGTGGTAGAAACAAAGAGTACGCGCTGCATCTTCTGCACATGTGCAAAGGAAACATCCACGTAAGTTATTATTTTTTCCCTTCCGACTCCAATATTTCATCAAGAACGGAAAAGATGAAAAAAAAAAATTAATAATTTTTGACCTTCTAGGAGGCGATGCTGAAATTAATGAGACCGACTCCAGCACTACCGGTCCAGCACCCGCTGCTAAGCTACGAGTGCCGCGAATCCGACCGCTGGACGTCCCAGGAAATGGAAGCGTTCTATCAAGGATTGCTAGAGTACCACAAAGACTTTTCCGGGATTGCCAGAGATATATGTACAAAGTCCGCTAAACAGTGCACACAATTCTACTACCTCTGGAAAAAACTGTGTCCGGACGAGTACCGGCGAGTTAGAGCCCGCCATGGTAGACCAAAGAACCCCGTTAAATCTGATAAGCACTGTAAAGACACTAAAGATACTAAAGAGCTCAGGGATGCCATCGCTTCTGTCCATTCGATGGATTTCAGTGAAGAAAAGTCTATTCTTCATCGAACACTCGTTAGTATTTTTATTATTATATTATATTTAAATTTCCAGACATTTTACAATTTTTTTATTTTATTTGAAAAATACATTTTTTATAAAATTTTTATTTATTTATTAAGGAGTTCCAGCATGCAAAGTAGTCAAATTTTAAATGACACTGAAGTTAGCAGACTTCTAAAAATTTTTGATTTTTTTGAAGTTATACTTCTTTAGGCGCGTTATGAAAAATTGATGAGAGTAAAATTTTACGATGCGCGCGCACCGTGACACAAAATTAACAGAATGAAGTTGGCCACAGAATAGAATTAAAAGTATATATTTTTTTAAATGACTAAGTTAACTCATATACAGGTTAGTTGCAAAGTATCCAACGAAACGTTGTTATTTTCAAATTCGATAGAAATACCATTTAATATGAAATATATTATTCATATTAATAATCAATTCTAAAAAATGGTCAATTAAATATTTTAGTTTTTATTTAACTTGATAATAATTTTCTTTTAATCAATATTTTTCCAAAAATAATAGTAATCTTATGAATTAAAATATTTAAACTAAAATATAAATATTGTAGTACCTATTATATTTAGATATCTTTTTATTGAGTTCATAATTTTTAATACAGACTCAATCATTTTGCTTATCGAATATAGTAATTCTATCCATATTTTTTTAAATTCATATTATAGACCATTTTAATAATTTTCCGGAA